TTTTTTTTTTTTTTTTTTTTTTTTTTTTTTTTTTTTTTTTTTTTTTTTTTTTTTTTTTTTTTTTTTTCTGGGTGTAAATACTTGCTGTTGGGGTGTTTGTGTTTTTTTTTGTTTATAATGATTCTTGGTTTTGCTGCTGTTGCTGCTGCTGCTGTTGCTGCTGCTCTTGCTGTTGCTGCTGCTGCTGCTGTTATTCATGGTGATGGTAATTTTATCTTGTATTACACAATTTTATTTTATTTTATAAATTTTATTTTATTTTAGTTTATTTTATTTATTTCCATAAAATAAAATACTGATTCCGTGTTATATATTGTATAATACCTCTTCTATCTATAAATTAATAAATTAATCTATTTATTTATATATTTATTAGTTTATTTATTTATTTATTTTATTTATTTTTTTTTTTTTTTGTAGGTCCCCCCGGCGCGAACATATTTGTATTTCACGTGCCTAACGAGTGGTCTTCCGTCGACCTATTAAATGCATTTTCACAGTTTGGGTGTATTCTATCTGCTAGGGTAGCAATAGATAGACAAACAGGAAGAAACAAGGGTTATGGTTTTGTATCTTATGACGCAGCAGAAGCAGCAGCAGCAGCAGTAGCAGCAATGAATGGGTTTTTAGTTGCCGGGAAAAAGCTAAAAGTTACAATAAAAAAAGGAGAAGAACAACATGCAGTAAGAGCATCACCAAATTCATTTATCTCTCAGGGTGGTTCTGCTGCTGGTGGGGTTGCTGCTGCTGCAGCAGGTGCTGCTGCTGCTGCTATCAATCCAGTACAGTCACAGAATGCTGCTGCTGCAGCAGCAGCAGCAGCAGCAGCAGCAAGAGAACAGCAGTGGGGGGCATCAGCAGCCTATACGGCACAAACACCTACCAGTGCTTATGGGGTTAGTGGAGGGTTTGCTGCTGCTGGGGGGGCCCCACAGCAGCAACGCTTCGCTCCCTATTAAAAACTGCTGCTGCAGCTGCTGCAGCAGCAGCAGCAGCAGCAGCAGCAGCAGCAGTTGCTGTTGCTGATGCTGATGCTGCAGAAGAAAAAAGAAAAGGAGAAAAAAAAAGAAAAAGAAAAAAACACAGTGAGAGGGAAAGATGTTGAGGTGTATATACAGCAGAGTTGCTGTTCTTTGGGGGGGGTTGTTTATATATATTATATTATATTATATTATATTATATTATATTATATTATATTATATTATATTATATTACTCTATGCATATATATAAATATATTTATTTATTTATTTATTGATGTTATTATAAGGGTTTAAATGGTGTATTTCTTTATAAAAAAACACAAAAAAAGATAAAGAAGAAAAAAAGAGGGAGAAGGTGGTTATTTTGGTGGGGTTGCTGTTGGGGTGTATAGGCAGCTCTCTTATATATAAAATAAAATAAAAAGAGATTCTTCTCTTCTTTATCGATATAAATATATAAATAAAATATAAATAAAAAATATTAATATAATTTATTTATTTATTTATTTATTTATTATAATATTTATAAATATTATAATGTAACTTGCGGGTTGACTTATTATGCTCCAGTGTTTGGGTTTGTTCTTTTTTTTTTTTTTCTTTTTCTTTTTTTCTTTTTATTTGTCTTTTTTTCTTTTTCTTTTTAGTATAGTTTGTGAGGGAGACAGTTATATATTCATTATATATATCTAGTATACATAGTTTTATAGTTTTGCTTATTATATAATTATATTATTATTTTATTTATTTTTATTTATTTTTATTTTATTTTATTTTAATTACTTGGGGTAGTGCTGCTACTTACTATTGTAGGTGTTTTAGTTTATATTATTATTTTATTTGTTACTTTATTTATAAATATAAATATTTTATTTATATATTTCTCGATACAATAAAAATTATATTTTATTTTTTATTTATATATTTA